GGACATTCAGGGTCCTTATGCCAATGGCCAATCTGATGGCACTTGGCACATCGGGACTTCGCCTTTGCTTCGCTCAAAGACATCCTGTAGAAACCTCCTTTGACATAGCCAGTCGTGGACATAGATAGAGCTCTGAGATCTCGGTCCACCTTGGCCTCCACCACGCCATTGGCCATAGCCCCTTGCTAGGTTCTTTGCCTTCTTCGTCCGAAGACTCTGCATGAACGTCTTCTTCTTCTGACTCAACATGGTGCTAAGCACCTCCTTTGCCTCGTGCTCGTCCATGATGTCGTCCTCCTCAGCGGTCTCGGTGTACACGGAGTAGTCGTCTCCATCTTGTCCAGGATGTAGTTCTCGCCAAAGTTCCTCCATGGCCAAGATCTCGTCCTCCTCGAGCTCTTCCTCTTCCGTGCTCAAGTTCATGACTGAGCTGGCTTTCGAAGCTGTCAGTGCTTTGCTCTTGTCGGCACCTACATCTTTGGCAAGAAGTTTCATCTCGTGCTTCCTGCACCAACTCTTCACATCTCGAACCAAGATGGACCCCTGTGTGAAGGCCATCATAGATTTGATCTCGTTGTCGGAGATGTTGAGCGCGTTGATCAGCAAGAAGCCCAGGTACTTCTCCGGCAAGTTGACATGGTGCTCCTGGATCTTCCTGACCGCGTCGTCGAACTTGGTGAAGAAGGTCCTGCAACCCTCGTCCTTCTGGCGCCTCAGGTGGTATGTTAACCGAGCTAGCGAAGACAAAAGTTCTTCTTCTCGATCTTCTCCAAACAGCTCCGGAGTATCCATCACCTCCAGCAGCTTGTACCCATTTTTCTCATCTTTCAACCATGACTGGTCCTTGGCATAGTGCTTCAGCGACTGAAAGGGCTGGCCTGACAACTTCTGGAGAATCATCGGGCCTTGGGAGCGAGGCTTCACCCTCGTTGTCGCTAGCCACGACCGTGCCTTTATCAACCAGTCTTGGAACGTAGTTGAAAGGCCGTCCCACTCGGGTGGTGGCTGACCTCCACCAGATCCCCGACCATTCCCTGTCGGGCTCCGATCACCATCACTCGCATCCTCTGGCTCCTGCCGTCGTGACCGTCGTCCTCGATCACCTTCAGAGCCATAGTAACTAGACCGGCGAGCTCGCCGCTGCTGCAGCCACTCGCGAAACTCCTCAGAGTCAAACTCGTCCTCCTGAGCACGAGCTTCACCGGCAGCTCGACCAGGAGGTGCATCATCGTCACCACCACCTTCCCCGTCAAGGGAACCATGTGAAGACGGCAACGTCGCCATCACCTACAACCTACAAGGTCCACAGGAGCTTGGAGCTCCGCCTACCACTGTAAACGAACCCACGGTGCGCGCATCTTTTTGGCGCAATCCCAAGGCCCACATTGAGCCGTCATGTACTGCAGTGGAACACATCCACAAAGGACCTGAAGCCAGGCCAGTCACCAGCAATTCACAATAATATATAATATATAATATATAATATATATATATATAATAATATATATATTATATTATATATTATATATTATATATAGATTATTATATATATATATATTATATTATATTATATATATATTATATATATTACATATATTACATATATTATATATATTATATATATTATATATATTATATATATTATATATATTATATATATTATATATTATATATTATATTATATATATATTATATCATATTATATATATTATATATATCTATCTTATCCTTCCTCTTCTCTCTCTCTCTCTCTCTTCTCGCTCTCTCTCTCTTCTCCCTCTCTCTTCTCTCTCTCTTCTCTGTCTCTTCTCTCTCTCTTCTCTCTCTCCTGTCTCTCTTTCTTCTCTCTCTCTCTCTCATCTCTCTCTCTCTTCTCTCTCTCTTCTCTCTCTCTTCTCTCTCTTCTCTCTCGTCTCTCTTTTCTCTCTTTTCTCTCTTCTCTCTCTTCTCTCTCTTCTCTCTCTTCTCTCTCTTCTCTCTCTTCTCTCTCTTCTCGCTCTTCTCGCTCTTCTCTCTCTTCTCTCTCTTCTCTCTCTTCTCTCTCTTCTCTCTCTTCTCTCTCTTCTCTCTCTTCTCTCTCTTCTCTCTCTTCTCTCTCTCCTCTCTCTTCTCTCTTCTCTCTTCTCTCTTCTCTCTTCTCTCTTCTCTCTTCTCTCTTCTCTCTTCTCTCTTCTCTCTTCTCTCGTCTCTCCTCTCTCTTCTCTCTTCTCTCTTCTCTTCTTCTTGTCTCTCATCCCTTGTCTTCTCTCTCTCTCTCTCCTGTGTGTCTTCTGCTCTCTTCTCTCTTCCCTCTTCCCTCTTCCCTCTTCCCTCTTCTCTCTTCCCTCTTCCCTCTTCCCTCTTCTCTCTTCTCTCTTCTCTCTTCTCTCTTCTCTCTTCTCTCTTCTCTCTTCTCTCTTCTCTCTTCTCTCTTCTCTCTTCTCTCTTCTCTCTTTTTCTCTTCTCTCTTCTCTCTTCTCTCTTCTCTCTTCTCTCCTTCTCTCTTCTCTCTTCTCTCTTCTCTCTTCTCTCTTCTCTCTTCTCTCTTCTCTCTTCTCTCTTCTCTCTTCTCTCTTCTCTCTTCTCTCTTCTCTCTTCGCTCTTCTCTCTTCTCTCTTCTCTCTTCTCTCTTCTCTCTTCTCTCTTTCTTATTCTCTCTTCTCTCCTTCTCTCTCCCTCTCTTCTCTCTTCTCTCTCTTTTCTCTCTTCTCTCTATTGTCCTTCTTTCTCATCTCTCTCTTCTCTTCTCTTCTGTCTCATCTCCTTCTCTTCCCTCTCTTCCTTCTCTTCTCTTCCTCTCTATCTCTCTCTCTCTCTCTCTCTTGTGTATTATATATTATTATGTATTTCATCTGCACATTATACACCAACATGTATTATCTTAAAGCTAGCTCGAGACTCGCTCCCACCCGCTGTGTGGCAGCAACAAAGTTGGCGAATCTCTGACTCGCGCACTCACGCACTCACGCACTCACGCACTCACGCACTCATGCATGCACTGCACTCACTCACTCACTCACTCACTCACTCACGCACGCCCGCCCGCCCACTTGCCCGCCCGCCCGCCCGCCCGCACACACCCACGCACGCACTCACGCACTCACTCGCTCAATCATGTTCTCTCTCTCTCTCACTCTCTCTGTCGCTTTCTCTGCGTGCCTCTCTTTAAACTCTGCCAAACAAGCCTGCTCCTGAGATCAGCACCCAAGCAAAACAAAGTTTGCAGTAGGCAATTCCTTAGAATCAGAACATAACTCAATTCCTCAATGGCATTCTGTGACATTCTGTGACATTCTCTGTTTGTTTGCATTCAATGCAGGGACACAACTGAGGCCTTCACATGTAGCAGGTGGCACCATGATTCTTCAAACCCACGTGGCCCAAACACTTCCTGACAACGGAAAATTCATACTATGCGCAAGGGGGAATAGGGGGAATGGACAAATTCAGCTGAGAAAATTGGGGAAACAGCAGTTGATTCAGGACGTGCAATGGATTGAAGATCAAGCAGGGATCAAACGAAGTACAGTAAAGAGTTTGGTACCTCTCAAACAGCATAGCTGTGAAAGGTCACGCATAACAAGTTGCTGCAGGCATGAGATCCTTCTTGAAGAATCAACCTCTATCATTCGGATTTGTCTCCTTGACTTAGAGGTGTACAGATTCATTGGGCTTTAGCCCTGAGCAGACCCTGCTTGTTCATCCGCGGAGTTCTTTCACCCACCCTTTTCGCAGCGCACTTTGAAGAAGACTGTTGCATGGCACGCCGAGAGGAACAGGACTCGGCACAGCAAGACAAAGCCGATTGGATCCAGTTGGTATGATCATGACCCAACGCGATTCATTTGGACCCTGCATGATGAATTTTGGAGGCCCATTCCCATGGAAAACTTTTGGCTTCCAGCTGCAACAGAATTTAGTTATTCTAAGGCCCTGGCTGCACGCAAACACAGCTCACCTTGATCATTGAGCCAACCACTCTCGGACGTCATCAGCGAGGCCTTCCGACTTCCCTCAACTTCCCCTATCAAGCCCCTGAAAGAAACCCTTGGAGCAAGACCCCCAGCAACTTGGCACAACTTGGCACAACTTGGAACAACTTGGCAGGAGAAGGTACTGAGTCCGTATGAAGGTTGAGGGCTGGAAGGCAATTTCTCTGATCACGGAAGGATGTTACAATGTAAAAGCAAGAATCACGTGCGGAATGCATGGCCTTGACAAAACCTTTGTGCCATCCTCGGTCTGAATGATCTCTGTTGAAGTTGAATGTATCCTGGAAAGGCCAAAGCTTACAGCAAACAGCTGAAACTCCCAGCTGACACGTCGATGAGTTGTTGGTGAACTCTTTGCACCCAGTCTTAAAATAGGCCTGAAAATAGGTTACCATTGCCGCGTTTGCTCTTTTCTTTTTTTGGATACTGTAGGTATATCTCCCATTTTTGGACAATCCCCCTGTTCCTGCTGTGTCACGGAGTTTCTCCAGTCTTTCCAATTCACCTGAGCAGTGCGTACCCACTTAGTCACTTCGGTACTGCAATACCCACTGCCGGCTTAGTTGAACCAAGGATACTGATGGACGGTACGCCTTAGATGCCGCATGATGCCGCAAGGTCGGAAAGCAAGGCTCGCACTGCTGTGATCTGGTACTTCACACCTGACCGTACTTGGAGCAAACTGCGTCAAGTTTTGGATTGTTGCCAAAAACAAGACCCTTGACATCTGTGTAGGTATAGCGACCTGAAAAGGATTCACAGATTTGGTCACCTGCGAACTAATCCATCTACACAAATGTGATATCTGAGTACAATTAGCAGTTCAGGTTGCAGCCTTCGAAGCCCCATCGAATCTCTTCACAGCCAGGAGGCTGGGAAGCCTGCAGTAAATCTGACAAGCCAGAAGAATCTTTTTCCTATGGATTGATTTCAGGGAAATATGACAGGAAGCCCTCGATTGATTCTTAGATTCTAAGCCCTTCTTTCACTTCATCCAAGTCTGGGGTTAAAAGTACAAAGGATGTCCCTTCAGCCACCAAGGGCTCCAGACCTGTCTTCCATAAGACTTGCTTGGGAATGGATCCTGATGCCCCATTGAACATTCCAAAAACAAGCAGAACGAATCAGAACGATGATGGAAAGGTTCTTTGATCTTCGACATGTTGGGGTTCTTTGGTATCGACCCAGTTGCTTTTTGTTTTGCTTCCCTGGAGCCTCAACAAAGGCTGCGAGCTGGCTCGGTGGGGCTGTGACTTCTGTTCCCATTGGGAAGACCTCGACAGCACAGCTCCACTGAAACAGGTACAGACGGTACAGAGATCATTGCACCCATCCCCGTCATGTGTCGAGCACAAAAACTTGAAGTGGTTCAGTGGCTTGGACCAACAGGTAATTCCCGTGCTTTCTGTGTTCAACCCCTTTGTGCCGTGCTTCATCGTGCTTCCATGCTTCCACCCCATCAGCTTGGGGTCACGCCAAAAGTCGAAAAGTGAAGCAGCCGTGGAGAGTTTTTGAATGAGAATACACCTGAACTCATTGCCACATTGCTCTGCAAAGCGCCCAATAGGCCAAACGAAGCAAAATCCCACGCTGTCAGACTGGGTATCGAACTGATTGACCCTGCTTGTAGCTAGTTGGATCCTTCAAGATGAACCTGTGCATTTCGCGCAGTCTAGGCTGGGAGAAATTGTGCAAATAACACTGTCCTCTCCTTGAATTCCATGTTCGTTTGTCCCCCTCCAGAGTGAGAAACCCTGGGAACCTTCTATTTGAATTTGTAATGATTTGTAACTAATTGACGCCATTGGGAAGCAGTCCCTTAGACCGGTTTATTCTGCTTTTGATCAACCATTGTGCAGTCAGGAGGCTCAATCTCATGATCCAGAGGTGGCGGCAAGGTCTCCTGCAGATTTCTTTGTTACTCTGTGTATTTCAGGAGGATCCGTCCTGCACTTTTTTGCGCCACAATTCTGCAGTGTGACGCATCTGTATTGGCCAGTTGTCATTCCCTGCTCCAAACTTTCTCCGGACTCCTTCGTCCACGTAGCCTGGCTGGAAATCAGTGATCCTTCCGTTGGGTTCTGTTGGTCCAACCATCTAAGCTGGCACATCGTATTTGAAGTTCCGGGGAAGTATATTATGTGTGTATGTGTCGATGCACATGTGTTTTCAATGGTGAAGGATCTAATATCGGTACACAACGATTTTGTAAGTACATGAATCCATCATGAATCCATCATGAATCCATCTTGCAAATCTCGATTTTGCAGAAACAAAGTGGCCGAGAAAAGGATCGTGTCGCAGTCGCAGTGTCCCAGGCCTGAGAGGCGGGCAGCCTTCCATCCTGGCAACGGCACAGCGAGAATCCATTTTTGCTCGGGATCTTCCATCATCTTCCATCTAGCTAGCAGCTATTGAGATAAACCATCCAGATCATCCAGATCATCCAGCTAGCAGCTATTGGGGTATCTCCATTTTAGGAAACCCCCACACAAGAAAATCACGAGAAACACTTGAACCTTCGTCAAAAGAATTGAAACAGAGAGGGAAATAGATTGGACTAGCACATCTGGAATGGTCTGCAAGGAGAGGAAAACGAGGAACAGGAAGCGGCGCGCGGCGCCCTGTGTCTTTACAGCCTTAGCACCAGGCTATTGCTCAAAATGAGCTGGCAAAATTGGATGGCTAAAGAATGAACACCCGAATTTATCATTGTTTGCTTGGGTATAATGGTCCACTATATCTGATATCCAGATATGTCCATGATATTCCCAGGTTCATCCCATTTTCACAACCCCGCCCCAATAACTCGAGCCCCGATGCACCTCTACGTCCTGGCCTTGGGAACAATCGGATGTGATTGTGATGCTACCAGGCTTACTCCCATCCTTCAGTTTTCTTAGATCATGGGCGATGTTTGTTGATGTTAGATGATGCTTGATGATGTTAGGTTAGATTATGTCAGATGATGTTTGATGATATTAGGCTAATGGTTGACGATGCTAGACTGATTGCAAATCATATTTTGCCATTATATGATCCCCTCTCAAGGATCTTGTTCGAGCGTCGAAACGTGCTTCTTGCCTGACTAATCCTCTCACTGAGTGCTTGGCGGCTCTCGCGGCTTTGGTTGGCCGACATTTCAGTAGAAACATTGTACTCCTGAAAGTTACAGGAACACTTCTAAGGAATGAAGTTGTTTACAATGGCAGTCCGGAACATTGCAGCATAGCAGCCTGGTTTTTGGCAGAAGGTATTTGTGGCAGGGTTGAAAGTAGAGAAATTATGTTGACTTGGCTAAATCGCAAACCCTCTTCTTTTTCAAGTAGTTGAAGTAGTTGGGAGAAAACAAATTAAGAGTGGTAGCTTTGTTTTGATCATGCAATCCCGAGCAACCCAACTGTGCTAGGGGAAGCTCAGCGATCCAAAATCGAAAAAGTTTGAAAGCAATACATTATAAGGAGCTGCATCAGTTGCAGAGCTTGCTAGTCCTCATCTTCTTCATCGTCGTCTTCCAGATCTGCCTCACGTGCGAAAACTCGAAACAAATGATACCTGGGGCACACTATTACACAATGCCGCCATAGAAGTAGCTTTGTGCCCGAAGGGTCGTGTAAGTGTAACTCCTTGAAAACATCTCCATCGAAACAGAACAATAATCAAGAGCCAGACCAGACGACGTCTCCTTCTAGCTGATTCCATCGCAGTCTGAAAGACCTCGCACCAATGTAGACATTTCAACTTGAAACTCAAAATGGCGATCCTTGCACAGAGCTCTGAGAACTCTGTGCCCTTCAACACCTTTAAGTGTTCCTATGGTTGCTACGTTCACAGAACGGTTTTTTTGTTGATCATTCAGAACAAATCAGACAAATCTCACCAGCGCAGCTCCACTCCTCATCATCGGCATAATCGGTACCATCCTTTGCATGATCAATGGGATGCAAAGGATCCGGGATGCCACACAGTTGCGGGTGGTTTTCATGTCCAGAAACCTCGTGAATCTATAAAGTAGACCTTTCAACCATGCAAGGGGGAAACCAACCATTCCCAGAACAACAACTTAAGCAACTCATCAATTATAACGAAATACAAAACGGAAACCGGAAAACTACTTACCTAGTAGAATGCAAGTTTTGTTTCTCTGCTCTTAAGGCTGTGCAATCTGTGCAATTCCATGTGGATTTGTTTTAGAATCGGGCATGCCTACATGCGAGATTATTACAATCCATGACCTGGAAACCCCACGAAAACGTACGAAAACCCACCATAATAATGTAGGAAAACCATTATTATCGGTTTTTGATCATTTAAAACATATTAAAACCCCATTCTATGGCGATGAAAAATCCATTTACATCACTGGATTTGGGTTGCACCGCTCCCGTTATATCCAGGACAAGCTCACCGAACGCTCACCTAACTTGGGGCGGGGCCCGGGCCTGCCCGTCCAAGCGTGCGCGCTTCAAGGGGGGAGACCTCAGTGGGTGGGATGTCTGGGAATCTGCTGGGAAGTTTATCAATGGGATGCATTGAATGCAGCAAACCCAGTCTTTTGACAAGTGAGTTCGAAAGACCGGCCCAAAAAACAGTTGGTAGGATTGTTCACAACTACAAAAAATAAATATCCTGAGCCCAGAGCATCTCCTCTTTGCCATCAGTTTCACTGTCCATACTATTTGATGGCAAAGGTTTTGAATGTCAACTGAATAAAAGTACCAGGCATGATTTGACAAAACATTGTCTTGAAATTGAAGTCTCATAGTCGTACTTTTGAAGATTAAAGGGATAAATAGTACAGCCAACACCAAAGTAAACACAGCGCAACCTTGAATGTCGTTTTCTTGTGTTGCCATCCTAAGTTCAGTAGCAGAAGAAACAGATTCACTAAAACATCCTGCAAGAGCAAGAACGCACCCAAGATGCAAATGTCATTGAAATCCCACTGACTCAACTGACTCAACACCATCCAACAGAGCCGATGGTTTCACCAAAGTGTTCAGTACCTTGACATGTTGGGCCTGTCTTTCCTCGGGCTCTGTTGCCTGAAATAAGTATCAAGCTTACGATTGAGCAAGGGTATCCAGAACATTTTTTGTCCTTGAACTGAAGATTAAATTGCCCGAATGCGATAATTGGTCTTTGCCACGGAATAATTTCTCTTCTGCCCACGTCTTTGTGGGCCGGGATGCTTCCCATTGTGAAGAGTCAGCATGCATCAGCATGCATCAGGGGCCGACTGATGGAACATTCATTGTTCTAATTTCAACTCTCGAACTCTGGCTACTGATATGTGTCTCAACGCGCTGCAAAGGCACCTGCTTTAACTTCCGGAATTTGCAACAAATCTGAAGCTGAACAGACTGGATCCCGGTGCTTGGACCAAACCTGAAGTTGAACAGGCTGGATCCCGGTGTTTGGACCCACTCCCTTACAGGATGTAGCCTGTCAAGTGAAGGAAACGTAATAAGTCCAGTTGGAAACGCCCAAATCATTTCAAGGTGTTGCCGCAACTGGGTCGCTTGGCTTGGTTTTCGATGAAAGTGTTTGTTCTTCAATCTTCCGCGCCCCATGCAACCCTCTGGGCGGGGGGGGGTCGTGGTTTCTTTTCACATTGCTGCAGCTGCGAGTTCGATCTATGGACCAAAATGCGATCCGAAGGTTTGAAATCAAAACAACTGTGAACAAGTACACAACCAGTTCTAATTTCAACTCTCGAACTCTGGCTACTGACATGTGTCTCAAAGCGCTGCAAAGGCACCTGTTTTAACTTCCGGAATTTGCAACAAATCTGAAGCTGAACAGGCTGGAACCCGGTGTTTGGACCCAAGTTATTCTGGGACCAGCCGATGTAATCTTGAACTGGTGAGCCCGCTATATTTTCCCCATGTGTTTGTGGGTGAGGCAGTTAAAACTGGAACCAAGGAAGCGAAATAGTCGTAGGGAATATTCGTAGTTTGCCACAAGTCCTGTACATTGAACCGCACTCTTTTCTTGGCTGCACATTTCGTTGGAAGGATAGCAATTTCATCCCATCTGCTCAACAAATCAGCATCTTGGTTGTGAATGCCCGGAACATGCCGAGCATCCAGAAGGATATTGCGCTTAGCCTAAGAGCAAACTAACCTTTTCCAACAAAAGATTCATGGGATACTTGGTGCTGAACAAGCTATTAAGCCGTGCTTCGGCACCCGTGTTATCTGCGTGCGAAACAAAGGCTAAGTTGAGACGCTGGTTACTACAAGTTTTCACCAAAATACGCAAGATCCCAACTGGCGCAAAGGCCTCAAGAAAAGCTATGTGTTTTTGCAGGTCAGCGCCTAACTGGATACTTAGGGCAGCAAAATCCGCAGTGCTGAATCTTTCGGAAAACCAAATGGCGGGACCAGCGGGAGGCTGGACAAAGCCCCCAATGCCACACGTGGAGCCGCTGGCACATGCGTCAGCAAATGCAGATCCTAACCATTTGGCTTTGGACCGCATACTGAGCATCCACTGGCCGGCTTGCAACCATTGCTGAAAACAGCTGCAAGACACGCAGTGAATCTAGTGAGAGTTTTCTGTTGTTGGTGCTGGGATTTCTAACTCGCATCCAAACTCTCTTTGATGTAATGATTACTTGGGCCACATCCTGCAAAGAGCTCTCGTGATTGTGTCTAGTCTAACAGAAACCAGAGTGCGCTTGGTGGGATCGCAGTGGAGGCTGGTTGCTGCAAAAACGCTGGGGTCGGAGACAAACATGCCAGCAGTTGCTGCCACTGACCTGGGTCACAGCTAAATTGGGTATCAGGTGCGCTCACAAGGTCTGAATACAACCAATGCAAATGAACACGGATGGTTGGATACAAGCTTGTACACCACATCCCTAGGCCCAAGAACTTTTCCAAAAGTTTCAGCCGCAGGTGGGGGAGCATTTGGGCAATCAAATGCAAGAGCTTGGAACGCTTATCCGGGTGCAACGATACCAAACCTGCATGAAAATCGAAAGACCAACCTATCCAGGTTTGACGGGGCGAGAGGTTGCATTTCTTCCATCTGACATGGATGCGGAAAAGTTGGCACAGCAAGACTAGATAGGTTGCCTGGAGAGCGACAATTGACTGCGGGGAAG